CTAAAGATGTCTGCATTAGGGTTTAGCTGCGGGGTCTGGTCGTTGGTTAATATATTCTCCTTGTGTAAAAGACAATAAATCATCCTTTAATGTATTTAATTCACTTTGAAATTGACCAATGTTTTCCATTTGTACTTCTTGCCACTGTTGTTGACTTTCCTGTAGTTGCTGCTGACTTTCCTGCAACTGTTGGAGGCTTTCTTTCTGTTTCCTTTCTTGTTCCAGTTGCCACTGCTGTAATCTCTCTTCTTGTTTATTTTATTTCTCCTCTAACCACTGCTGTAGTCTCTCTTGTTTATTTTGCTGTTCGAGCTACCACTGTTGCAGGTTTTCTTGCCACTGCTGTAATCTCTCTTCTTGTTTATTTTCGTGTTCTTCTTGTTTCTTTTGCTGTTCTTGTATTGCTGTCATGAAATCTGCTAAGCTGTAGTTTGATTTGCCACCTCTGGTTTCCATTTTCGTCTTCTTTTTTTTTTCCGTCCCACTCTCTGACACCAATTTGTTACGTATTTGCTTGTTTGTTAATTTCCCGTAGAAATTATTTCCGCGATACTTCAGCGATACAAGTCCTTTCTTAATTAAAACTAGTTTATTCTTTCTCGATACAACTTTACAAAACACAACATTTCCACAGTCAATACGTTTGCAATCTTGATAACAAAACACACACTTTATATTATCGTCACTACCGCTCACTTGACTCAATTATCTGTCTCTATATCTATCTAACTACAATCTTATCTCCGCTTTATTTGCCGGGCTTATATACAAAAAAAAAAAAGAAAGAGAGAGAGAGAGCGCCTAGAACAGACTAGAGTTGCCAGGTAAAGTCAATATCCTTCGAGAATATCATGACGTGTTACTAGGGTCACGTGACTTCAGCTGTCGTAACAATACTAAACTTATATATGGGTAGTGCTATTGTAATAATCTCGAACAATGACTGAATGTAGTACAGGTCACAAGCGTTCTTCTTAACTGCAAACAAACAGTAAATTAATTTAATAACTTACACATATTCCGTTTGTATCAACTTTAGTAAACTATTGAATAATATATGTTAAATCGTCTTCGTGATTTATATCTGTGATGCAATATAATACAAATTATCAACTAACACATCCATAATCATAATAAACCTGTTTTTCTTCATTACAGTTGTTGTGATTGATTAAGCTTTACTGCAAATATCTCTCTATCAATGCAAGAGACATCTGTGAGCAAGATCTTTAACTAACATATTTATCTTGGGCAAAATTTGCCTGTTGACAGTTACAGTGATGAACAAAAATGTTCTTGCTTAGAAGAAAGATACCTAGTTTGATTTTACTTTCTTGAGATTGGACGATTAATTGGATAACAGTTTTCTTTTAGAAGATGAACCAGACCGCATTTCCTCCATACTTTACTGATGAAGAACTACATTTATTTGAATGTTTCCTTTCTAAAAGACAATGATTTACTACCACTGGCTGTTTTGCCCAGCCTCTTCTCCAGTAGATGTCCCTTTGTTGTTCAAAACTCCTTTAACTTTCACATATTTTGTTCATTTCTTTTCTTAAGCATTCTGTCTTTGCTGTGGCTGTAGCTATCATTATCTGTGCCACACCCACTCCCTCCATATTGTTGTTTTCTACTTCCTTTTTTCGGCTTGTTGTTTCCATCTTTAAGCAATTATTCTGTACAGAATAACTTCCTCCGAATTTCAGTTTCCTTCCTCAACAATTCTTTCTATCTTTCAAGAAGGGAACAGAGTCTGTTCCTAGTTTCCTTTTCCTCAGCTTCTAACTTCTTTTCAACCTCAATCTTTTCTCTTTCTCATTTCTGCCTTTCTTTATCAACATTTCTTCCTCCATTCTTAGTTTATAGTTGCTATAAGCCATTTTAGCAGGTCTTAGCACTTCCCTATTGGGTTTAATTTTATGGGGCTGAAGCTTGTCAGGATCTGAAACTTCACCATGTCCTTGAAAGTTTACACAATATTCACAGTTTTCTCTCCAATAGCAATTCTGTTTTTGGTGACAACATTTGTATTAACGGACAAACTTATTTTTACGTCTGTGTTTCCCTGGGGGTAATACTATTGCTTTCTTGACAAGAAGAGACAGAAATCTGTATTTCAAGTTTCCATTGTCAAGCTTTTTCAAGAAGACTTGCTTCCAGAAATGATCCACAATTTTGCCTGTCTTCTGAATCATCTTCTGTTCGGTACACTTTTCACTCATCTGTAATATTAGTTATAACATTCTCTTCAAACATCAGTTGTCTAGATAAAACCTCTATATCTGTGACAGAACCTTGATCAAATCTTTTCACTTGAAACAAACAAACTAGTGTTTTCAAAAGGAAGTTTAGTGATCAGGTACGTTGATACCGCAGTGTAGAATGACCATATTCCAAGAATTTCTTTGTGATGGGTCTCTAGTTTCACCTCGGAAGGCTCCTTTCTTGCTTCCCCACAGACAATGTTTTCATCACCTAACTGACTTTTAATGACAATTTCTAGATTTTTCAACTCTAATGGTGCTATGTCATTAATAATACGTTTTGACAAACCATCTCAGAATGCTGCAAACCAACACTGTCATTCGACTGTATAGCAGGTGAATCATAAGTTGATCAGTGTGGAACTTTTTGAGAAATATTTCAAACAGAGGGATAACTGACAACAGAAAGAACAATTTGACTTTCATGTCGGGTTGCTTTATTGCTTCCCTTTGAATTTTATACTCTTTGGGTCCCTCTCTAATTTTGACACATATTCTCTTATTCCTGACCACTGCTTAATGATGCACCTTAAAGCTGGTCCAATGCTCAGCCAACAAACTTAGATGTACTTTATAAAAGACTTCCTCTGGAAGGTCATGTTCTATATGTATATATTTATAATCCTCCATTCTTCCAGATGAGATCTTGAATAGTCCAAATAAATCTATCACTAATTACTCTGTTTCCTGACCATATTATGTTATGCCCTTGCTGAAGGCATTGTGCATTGTATGAATATTATATGTATCTACACCAACAAGACCATTCTGAATCAGCAGCTTTGAATAGCTTGGAAACTTCTCTAAATATTGTCTTTTTAACATTTGGTCCATCACCACCTAATGCAACTAGGGATTCCAATCATCTTGTAATGTTTCCACCATACGCTTGGCAACAAACTTTCTATCTGCATGAAAAAAAGAACAATGAATTGTAATATCTGCACCAGACTTAATCATGGGTTGCGGGCCAGTACCTTATCATGAGATCCATTGTTTCTTTACCTGTGCCTAAGTTGTTTCATCATACTGCAATAAAAAAGGAGTTATTTGCATTTTGTACGCCATATATCAAAGCAGTAATGAAAGCTGGATCCAAACCAGCTGATAGTACGTAAGATAAATTTTTTCTGCTCCTATTGAAACTGTCCACTATTGGGCATTTGAACATTGCTTTGAAAGTTTCAATAATACACCACCAGCTCTGAAACGTATGGAGAATGCACATTTCACTGCCCAGATAACTTCTGCACACAAGGTATCCTCTCTTAGTACAGTGAAAGTCAAAATTGTGGATTTCTCTTTTCCAGTTAATGTCCCAGATATCTGACTAGAAGGTCCTGCTTTTTCACCTGCAGAATCTGTACTTGTATTTGCACTTTCCCTTGAGATGCCAGTGGTTGGTTGACTTTTGGATGTGAGTTTTGCATCATTCAGTGAAAGAAGGGATTTACTCAGTTTTTTATGATGGGATCCTGATGCATGTTGAAGAATTAATTTAAAGTCTGGTATTATTACATTTCATTTCAGATAGTACATCTGGCCTGATACAAGGTACTTCCTTTAACACACCACAACTTCCATCAACCTCAGACGACCATCTTTCATTAAACTTAGTTTTGTCTCCTAGTACAATTAACAAACTCTTATTTGAAATAGATATTGAAATGTTAGATTGCCATGAAAATGTTCTAAAACAGCTTCAGTTGTTGGGTATTTTTACACATTTCTTAGAAAACCATCTAGATAGACTGCTCTATTTAACATTTACCCATCATAAACTTTTCTTCCTCCAAAACTGACAAACGTTTCTCTTATTACCACAATAGTACTTAATATTGTATTTCCTCATGTTGATGAATTTATTATCAGAATCATATTTTTAGTTTTTCTGCCAAAAAAAAAGAATCCATTAAAAGGAGAGGACAATGGTTTCTGTGATCCAAATGGATCCAGGTAGTATATCCAACAACTGAGGCTGTTAGTTACTGGGCTGGGCATGGGTGCCATACCTGAAAGAAATATATTGAAGAAAAGTGCAGAAACATAAAGTCTTGAAAGACATAATTTTGTAACATTTTTTTCTGCAAAATGTTTACACTAAGTTTGTCACTTTTCTTTGAATATTTGTATTTCTGTCTCACCCAATTTTGTAAATATAGGAAAAAAATAAGTATTTCTGTGAAATGTAGGAATAAATATGAAAATATTGGAGTACTTGATACCCTACTAAATATGCAATTAACTTTTCTTTATTCATTGTCACCTGTACATATTTATGATGGATAATGAACAAGATAGTTCTTGAATTAATTTCAAAACCATTTTTTTATTTCTTACATTCAATGTTTTTTTACTAAGACTGAAAACAATTTGATAATGAATAATATGACAATAACTTCATATTTGATTTTACTTTTATAAATAAAAAACCCTAAAACAGCCATTTATTGTGAGACAATATATAATACTCAATTAGAATGAATATATATAGCACTTCTGCAAAATATCTAAGTTAACATTTCTACCAAAATATTCACAATCATATTCTAGAACTAGATTTATGAAAAGTTACAAAGCCAAGTTTGAATGAAAAACTACCTTTTTAAGTTGGTTGTTTCCATATGAATTATTTATTTTTAGATAGGAATATGTAGTATATGATGGTAATATTTCAACCAGTTCATTGTTCGCATACTTTAGGTACAAAGGTAACCACTGATTGATCAATATATTTGAAAGAAATAACTAATTGTTTTAAAGGGCCTAATATACCCAATAAAGATCATAGTAGAGGGAATTTTTTTTTTGTACAAGGGCTATAGCATCACACCTGTTGTTTTTGTAATGGTTCACCACTTCTTGATGGAGTGTACAGTCTTACTTGAACCTTCATTTGATGGCATTTCCTATGTTCTTTAACAATGATCTAAACCATAAAATAAACTTTAAATAGTCTTTAACACTCTCCAAAGTCAAGCGATGAATGTAATATGTTATCCCATACCAACCTAAAATATAAAATAAGCACCCAATCTTCTCTAAACCTAAACCAAATAATACAATGTATGTATTTCATGATGTTAAGAAATGACATAGAATCAAAGATTAGATAAATTACAAAACAACAAAGCCTGGGTCATGTTCTTGGGGGGGGGGGGGTTATAGTTTTCTACAGTGCATGCTGCATATGACTCAATCATTAATAATGGTATTTATAAAAGTATAATTGTGTAGAACGGTGGAAGAGTGTGGATGGGGGTGGGGGTGGCACAGTCAGCATTTGTACAGGTTGGAAAAAACCTGTCGTACTGGCCCCGAGTGTATAAAAGTATAATTGTGTAGAATTTCTATAACGGTGGAAGAGTGTGGATGGGGTGGGAGTGGCACAGTCAGCATTTGTACAGGTTGGAAAAAAACTGTCGTACTGGCCCCGAGTGTATAATTATAGTATTCTAACTACACTATATTCATCATATCCATTGCTGATGAAGTGTTTTGCTAAATCCAGAGCTCTTCAGGCCAGCAGGGTATACAAAAAATACAGAAGTGGTTGCAACACTATTTATATCAGCCATATGTCATTCCAATAATTGTTATGTGGGAACACCTTTTACAAGCTGGCGAAGCATGATTATAATTGTACTTGTCATAAGTCATTAGTATTAAGCCTATTATATTTTAACAAACTACATTCTTCATCTATTTCCTAATTTTGAAACTGATAGATTAGAGGGGAGTTAGCTAGTCAACAACACTACCAACTCTTGACTACTCTAAATAGTAGGATTTATACTGTCACTCTTATAACACACACTCAGCCCCATAGTGCAGAGCAAAATTTTCCAGCAACAGCATGTGAAATATGGACCCTACCCTAGCCAAAATGAATTAGAAAACTATGCATTCACCTACTTCTATAAATCTCTTCTGCAAATACCTGTTATTCAACTTTTTGTATAAAGTTGTACATATTCAAAACTTATAAATAAAATGCACCATTGTGTTTAACCCTTGTAGATAATACCTTAAATACCATTTTCTTGCATTCTACAAGTTATAACTCAGATATTTGTTCCAAAACTTTCTTCACGTGGGAAAATTGGTCTTATAATTTGAAAATTGATAATGGTGAAAGTTGAGACATTTGATTATTTAAAATTTTAATTCTTTATCTGAATGCCAAGTGACCAACTGAAATAAATTTTTGTAAAGCATAATGAATCAGAATGTTTGGAAGTCTGTATACATATATATAATAAAGACAGGTGATATCAGCATAGAAAACTTCTATTAGAAAAGCACAAAACAAATAACATTTCGACCTCTATAGTTCATCATCAGATTGACAATAAGATTTGATGGAGTGACTGTTATTGATCATGTGTCATGAGACTACAGTAATGATAGGTGTAAGATTATAGGGGGCATTCTAAATATATAACCTATTATATGGTAGTTAACATTAAGGAATAATTAGTAAAGACATAAAACCATTCCTTGGTGCTGGTTTAATGTGGATTTAAGTTCTTGTATTAGAAGAGCTTCTTTAATTTTTCGTTTGTTTACTTTGGTTTCCTTACTTAATATGTTAATGTTTTCTATGGTAATACTGTGGTTGTTTGAGATACAATGTTCAAAAACATGGGAGGGTGATTTTTTAGTGTTCACTGAATCTGGTTCCATTTTTAGGCTTGTTTCTCCTATATAGAAATCATGGTAGTTGTTGCATTGTGTTTTTAATATAACATTAGTCTTATGCTTGTCAGAGTAGTTTTTACATTGTATAGATCTACACTTGTTTCTTTTACTTTCTAGTTAGTAAACAGGACCACAAACAAGATACACAATTTAATCATAAGCCAACTAGCACTGAACTTGGAATTCAGCATCTGCAAAATCACAAAACAAGTACTGTTGTTAAACGTTTTCTATGTAACATTAATAGCAAATATTACTTTTTAAAAAATTAAAAACATTAAACTTAATCAAAATTTAATGGCAACCCTTTAACCAACTGTGAATATTGTGGCAAGTTTGAAGTAGTCTGTGGTAGTATTAATGGGACAGGTGCAAATGCTAAGACTGCATGATGACATATCTAGTTTCAAGAGAAACCAAGTCTCCCTTTACTTCACCTCAAACTTTGAAACTTCATTCTACCAGTAACCATGTGAAAAGTTCATCAATTTACGTCACCACAGTCAACCCGCCACCCCTGCTTGTTGAGAAGTTCAACAGTAAGATAGATTTTAATGTCTTAAAGTTTCTTAAGAGTTTGGAAAGACATTTTTAGCCCCCCAGTGGCACAGCGGTATGTCTGCGGACTTACAACGCTAGAAACCGGGTTTCGATACCCGTGGTGGGCAGAGCACAGAGAGCCCTTGTGAAGCTTTGTGCATAATTAAAAAACAAACAAACAAACAAGACATTTTTATATGTATCATTATTTCGTGGTACAAAGTAATGGGTGGGAAGAAACAGATCCCCCTAAGGCCCTCCCAAGACCCTAAATCTGTAGTGATTAGAATGTTCTGACCTATCAGTGAGATATCCTTTCTATTAATACTTTTACCTGTAATGATTAATATTATTACAAAAATCATAAAACATGCAAAGGTTATGAAATTTAAATGATAAAAAATGCATGTAATATTCAGGCTCAAATTCTACATACAATTACAATTTTCTAAATTGTTTTCCAGTTTTTATAATTATGATGTTTTTCTGTAAAATTCCCAATATCTACCTCAATTTTGTAATTGTAATTAATAGCTATATATATATACATTAAAATCTATGTCACAATTTTACAATATCATTATATCTTACTTACCTTCACCTAACCTGAAATATTTTCTTGATAGGTAGGAGACACTTGGCTTATATTAAATGGATTTGTTATTTTTGTATAAAGATATAAAATGTCATGATAATAATTATTAATATTTGCTTGTATTTAAACACAAAAAAGATGTAATAAAATCTAAGCTAAATATATATGTTTAATATACACTGAGTGGTCACAAGTAAATAGACACCTAATTTTTTGTCATTTAACTGATTTATGCTAACTAATTTGTGTTCACAGAGCACTATATAAATGAAAATGGTCCGCACACTAATTATCTTGTGCTACAACATGCCTAGAACTCAAGGTTCTCTCGAATTGTCAGATTTTGTTAGAGAAAGGATAGTTGGTCAGGCAGATGGTGGAATAAGTCAGCGGCAAATTTCGCAGAATTTGGGAATTCCGCTTTCAACAGTCAACAGAATCATCGTGCAGTTCAGGAAACACGGCAAGGAAACAACTGAGCAGCGTCTGGGTCGTCCTGGTCCATCGGAGAGGACAAAAAGAGCTGTCAAGAGGAGCATCGATATGATCTCAGATTAACTACTGCAGAAGTGGCCAAAGTTGGTGGGATGAGCCCGAAATCTGTTCAACGGATTCTCTACAGATTGGGTTATCATTGCAGAGCAGTTAGACGGAAGCCCTTATTAAGACCTGCCACCATAGTCAGACGAAAGAAGTGGGCAAGTGATATGATGACCAGGCCTCTGGACTTTTGGAAGACCGTATTGTTCTCAGACGAATCAAGATTCGCTCAATTTTTGGACAGTGGAAGGATATGGGTCTGGAGAATGCCTCACCATGAGTTTTGGCTCAACAGATTGTAGCCAACTGTGAAGCATGGTGGTTTCAGCGTGATGGTTTGGGGAGCTGTTTGAGTTGGTGGGAGATCGAGCTTAGTGGAGTGCATTGGCAACATAAATTTTGCGAAATACGTCGATATATTGGAGGAAGGACTCTTGCCACTTTATTCCTCGGGTTTCGTGGATAAGAACACAACGTTGTTCCAGGAAGATGGAGCACCGTGTCACACTGCTAAAAACACCCAAAAGTGGCAGGAAGAAAATGGTATCCAGAAGTTACCCTGGCCGAGCCAATCTCCTGACATGAACCCCATCAAAAACCTCTGGGTCATACTCGACCGGCAAGTCAAGAAACAACCAGGAAAACCAACTTCGAAGAGCGATCTACTCCAAGTTTTGAAGCAAAAGTGGGCAAAAATCCCACAATTTAAAATTGACAAGATGTTTCTCACGATGCCCCAAAGGATCAACGAACTCCACGAAGCGAAAGGAAGATCTACTAGATATTAAATAAATTATAAATATATTAATTCATATGAATATGAT